TGATTTTGGTAAGATTCGACGTGCGTGGAGGCCGGTTTGAGGAGCAAAGGCATCGCAAGCTAGGGATTTCGCCGGTTCGAGGTGAGTAATACTTGTAAATGATATCCTGAGGGTTTGAAACCCCGGATTTGCACATCACAGTGCTGTATTGTGGTGATTTGCACGCCAGGTATGAGCGTGGGGTAGAGCACCGTTGGGGACGGTGACTTGGTCCGTCCCGGTTATTGATTTTACTGCGTAATTGACTAAAACCTGCTTGATGCTATCGTGATTTGGGCTGATTGCCATGTTTTGGGCTTCGTGCCGATTATTTGAATCCTTTAGGAATTATTATCACTGTTTTTATGACACTTAGCATATTAAATAGTTTCAGTCCTGAGTTAAACCCTGTTTTGAAATGTGCAGTCATATTGTTAAAGTTTAAAGACTTAAATTGTATTTTTCTCATGTTTTGATTTAAAAGCTATTACTTGACATTTGCCCGAGTGGCTCATTTGCATGTTCTGGACTGAGGATGGATCGGGCTGCACGCCGCAGCAATGCTATGATGATATTGCGCTTGGGCTGTAGGAGCCCCTCCGGAGTCTGAACCCCCACAGTGAGCGCGGGTACCCAAATGGATCGGGCTGCGCGCCGCAGCGGTCATATGCATTGCATTGCATTCATGCATTGGTTCCCGTTTGTAATACGTGTCATGACATTCAGCACTCTCATTTCATTGGCATTCATGCTACTTCTTGCACTGTTTACCAGACGCCCTGGTGTTAATTGTTAGTGGAGTGCTGTGCCCGAGGGGCTGACTTATGTGCGGACTTGCACTATCTGATTACGCATTCATTTGCTTGACTGTTGGAAAAGGATATTTTCTAAAGAGGTTTTAAACTGAGCCAGATATTTTCTAAAGGATTTTTCACGGTTTTACTGTTTTCTCAAGGGGTTGTACTGCCCTATATAGCATGATGGAGTGTTCTTACGTGATTTCTTGTCTCTCAGTTATTATTTACTCTAATTACCACTGAGTTGGAAGTACTCACTTTACTCCCTGCACCTCGCGTGCAATTGCAGGTATATTTCACCCGGTAGCGGGTGATTAGCGGACTGAAGGTAATACTAATGTAGCTGAGCAAGGTGACCGCCAGCGTTCGCGGCACCGTACTTCATCTTCTGGATTCCAGATTTCATTTTATATATATATGACCCTGTAGTTGTGTTCCTACTTCTTAGATGCTCGTGACTTGTGACACCCCGGTCGGGTTATGTGGGGTTGAAAATACTGATTATTATGGCCGTTAAGTTGTATTATTCTATTCACTTATGTTTAGTAACTGTTAAAGAAATGATTTGGGTAAGTTGGCTGGCCTTGTCTTCACGAGAGGCGCCATCACGACCGGTATGGGAATTTGGGTCGTGACAATATATATATCTGATGTATATCTGATTTTAGAATTCAATTAATATACTAGAAAGTTCTACTCCACTTATTCTCTCTCTAATGTTCATCTTCTTCTCCTGAGCTTAGCTAACGCGTTTGGACCTCCATTAGTGGAGGTTGAGTTGTGACTGAAATCAGCTCAACTCACACTGTGGGTGGGCGTAATTCACAGAAAAATAATAAAATCCTATTCTTGTAAATACTAAAGAACCAATACGACAAAAAGAAACGAATAGGAAATCTAAAAATCTGAACAATTGATTCTTTAATGTTTAAAATTAAAAATCTTAATTGAAGAATTATGATGAGAAATTCATAAAAGCTTAACACTTACTCTATGGATTAAGGTCCGAAGATAAAGAGTAATTACCGAGAGGATTGAGAGAATGAGAGAATGAAGCCATAATGTGGCTTGTATGCTTAGTGGGTAAAATTATAATTTTGTTAAAGCTTATTCGGCTATCGGTTAACTGCTAATCAAATTGGACAAATCGAGGCCCGAACCGATAATCCAATAGTCAAATAACATTAAACCATTATCGAACTATCCAATAACCCAATAGCATTTTATCGGTTCGGGCTATCGATTATATCATATATATGCCCACTCCTAGTTGGTAAGGTGTATAAGAATAGTGCGAAATAAGGTGTATTAATAATGCAGCGATTAGTAATATATGTGTTAGTAATGCAAACATTAGTTATACAGAGATTATTTCGTATCCATTGTTTGGTGTGGTGTATTAAAAATTAAAATGCATTGCATAATTTTTTAAAAAATTAGTTGTTTACAAAAACGCATTCCATATTCTTTAGCTTTAAGGGACTTTAAGGTAATTTTATCTTTAAGCATACTAATGCATGCATTAATAGCCTTGATATTGTTAACCCCATAATTTGCTATGTAATAGTTATACATAGGATAATACTTAAATAGGTTATATAACTAATACTTGCATTAATAATATATATAGGTTGAAAAAATATACCAAACAAGAAATTAGTAATACCAAAAGCTAATGGATGCATTATATTTTCTACGGAAAAGGGTTGAAAATGCCCCTAAACTATTGGAAAAGGTTTTAAAATACCTTTCATCCATCTATTGGGATAAAAATACCCCTCCATACACCTTTTTGGTTCAATTATGCTCTTTGACCATTAGGTCGATGCTGAATTAAAAATAATTATTATTTAAATTCCACATGGCAACTTCTTATTGGCCAAAATTAAAACATCTAACCCATTAGAAAGGCCCACCCATATCTAGTAATATTTTGTACTAACACTAACCCGACCCGAACAAAAAGTTCAACTAAAAAAAGAGGCTCCACTTCTATCAAACTCCATGGAACAAAAGCTCCATAAAGTTGCAGCGAACATATAGACGCAAATTTACTACGCGGTTTTCTTTTTCTTGTTATGGTATCCAGTTCAATTTACATGATAGACACATATTGCATTATATTCAAGAAGAGTTTAATTTAATAATTTTCACATAACGAAAAGATCTCAAAGTGATTGTTTGGAAGATATCATAACTGTCCATATTATTTTCAAGAAAATTATTGGCTCATTCATGCTACACCTTTCTTGGTTGTTTAATTTGTTCATGAACCTTTATTCGATGATATAATGCTATACATGAGATTAATCAAGAAAATGAACACATGCAAATTCATGGGTTAGGTGGAAGTGGAGCGTCTTTTTTTATTTGAACTTTTTATTCGGGCCAGGTTAGTGTTTGGGGCGGGTTAGTCCGAAAAATGAGTAGATATGGGTGGGTGTTTCTAATAGGTTAGATATTTTAATTTAGACCAATAAGAAATTACAACGTGAAATTTAATTAAATAATTTTTATATTCAGCATTGACTTAACAGTCAAAGGGCATAAGTGAAGTGGATGAAAGGTATTTTTAGACTTTTTTTCAATAGTTCAGGATAATTTTTGACCTCTTTTCCAAACAACAACAACAACAACTACCCAGTAAAATCCCACCAGGTGGGGTCTGGAGAGGGTAATGTACGCAGACCTTACCCCTACCCGATAGGGCAGAGAGGCTGTTTCCGATAGACCCTCGGCTCAGAGAAAAAGAAAACAAGAAAAGAAAAGACAACTCATTAGTAACTCCAGTAGCAACCGTAATAGTAATGAAAGCATAACAACCAAGAGATGAAAGACATGCAATAACAGTAACCAGTATCTAAGGCCCAGGGCCAAGATAAACAGCAAGTACTGAGTGTATTCAGCCTAAACTGCAAGCTATCTAAGGTCTACCCTAATCCAGCCCCACCTCACCCCGGAACGAAGTAAGGAAAGAACTACTACCCCCTAGCCTACAACCCTTATGCTAGACCGCCAGACCTTTCTATCAAGGGACATGTCCTCGGAAATCCACAGACGTACCATGTCCTGCCTGATCACCTCCCCCCAATACCTCTTAGGCCTCCCTCTACCTCTCCTCGTACCCACCACTGTCAACCGCTCGCACCTCCTTACTGGCGCATCAAGGCTTCTCCTTTGCACGTGCCCGAACCATCTGAGCCTTGCTTCCCGCATCTTGTCATCCACAGGGGCCACACCCACCTTCTTCCGAATATCTTCATTCCTAATCTTGTCTATCCTAGTGTGCCCGCACATCCACCTCAGCATCCTCATTTCTGCTACTTTAATCCTCTGGATATGGGAGTTCTTAACCGGCCAACACTCTGCTCCATACAACATGATCGGTCTAGCCACAGCTCTATGGAACTTACCTTTGAGTGGCAGTGGCACTTTTCCGTTTTTTCTAATAAATACTATCAAACGACCCTATCACTCTTGAGGAAAAAGAAGGTGAGTTCCTTTCTTTGGATTCTAGTCGACTCGTCCTCCGTCCCAAGGCAAAAATCAAGGGAAAAGAAGATTCAGAATCAATTCACGACCAAAAAGCTACTCTCTTCTCATCTTCCCGCCTCCCCAAATATACCCCATGACAAGACACCATCCTCAAACAGTGGAAAGCAAAGGAAAAAAAAAAGACATAAATTATTGTCGAGTATACTTCATTATCACTATCTTATAAATTCCTAATGATTTGTTGAAAAATCATACAAATGGGTCCTCCGCTCAAAGTCTCAACTAGAGGAAAAGGAAGGAGTTTTCGTTTCATAAGTTGCTTCCATCTTAAAATGTTCCTTATTCTTTTACTGTTTTGATATGTAAAATTTCGCGACTATGAACTAACAATATTCATTTTAGTATATACATATGCTTAAAATTATGATATAAGCACTATGAATATTTGGCTCCCCTTAATGCACACCAAATGTCGACAGGACTTTATCTATTTGTCATCGCACCCTAATTTTCAAAAGTTGATCCACAGATGTAGTAGTTGCACTAAACTAGCATAAAACAATCCTGAACTAATTAATCTATGTGGCTCGGATTCTCAAAAAATGCTGCCAATCTTTGGAGGATTCAAAACTGGTGTGGCAGGATTTTTGATGGATTCGAGCAACATACATAATTTTATATCTACTAGGTACCCAATTCTTCAAATTAACTCATGCAGAAATCCAGAGAGAAGCATAAATTTTCCTTCATTGCTAGATGAACTGATCAAAAAGACTACAAGAAACTGTGGAAACGTCCAACTGTTAAAAGGATGAAGGAAAGACAAACTATTACAAGAGCAGTAAATTAAGCAAAGCACATAACCTATGAGCAGAAAACAGAACTAAAGCTTTCTCCTAAGTACAACTTCTCCACCATAACCCGAGGAAGCATCATTCCAAGAATCTGTCCATGACATCAGAGTACATTCGTCCTTCATTCCGATAATCTCCTGGATTATTTTGGTGCTGATCATGTGAAGTCGATGAATTAGAAGACGACGCCATCCTAGCAGGCAGAGTGAGGCTCCTCTTGAACTTGTCCATCTTCCGAACACTATCCGCGTGGTTATCCAAACTCAAGAAATCGTTCGGATTAGCACAGCCATTATTGTGCAAACTAGAAGCATCTGAATTTGGGTTTGAAGTCCTTCCATCAAGACTAAGTGGGTGCTGATTATGCTCCGGTTTAGTTCCTAAGTTATCAGGATTGAACATAATCCTAGAGTCGTCATTTCGGCCAGTGAGAGCACTGAAGAAAGTCAATCCATTAGGCCATTTGATATCGTTCTCATGATCAGCTCCCATCATGTGATCTTCCATTCGAGGTTCGGATGAATGAGGATGAAGGAACATGTGTGATTCATCTTTGGACTGATGATGCATTCCAAGTCTTGCAGAGTTTTGGAAGTTGGGAGAGGAAAGCAGTGATGACACTGAAGGCATTGGCCTCGGCCCCCAGTTGAAAAGGGGAGGAGGAGGCCGGATTGGCATAGTTGGCTGCTTAAGAGGCATTGTGGATGAAGGTGAACCGGTCCTTGTCGAAGAAAATAACTGCGACAGATAGAAGCCAGATTGATAGCCTAGAGACTCAAATGTGTGCCTCATTCTTAGCACGAAATGGAGGTCTTCCGGTATCTGAGGAGGATAAAACATGCATATCCAAATTAGATAATGAGTTTAGCTTCTATACACTGAATCACTATTTAATAGTGTAAAAAGATTCATAAAAAGTTGATGACTAATTGTTTTGGTAGTGAGTCTTTTATCTACTTTGTAGAGCAGTAATCACATGTCCAGAAACAAAGATATGAACAACTAAAATACAAAACAATAAAGAATAAAAAGATGAACTTTTTTCGGCAATGAGAAAATGAGTCTCACAATTTTGCAGGATCCCAGTTGCAGTAGGCCATGTCCAGCTTGAATTACAGCAATAGTCTGCGCAAGATAAAAGCAGAACACACACACACATTAAAGAGCAGTCCGGTGCACCAAACTCTCGCTACGCACGGGGTCCGGAAAAGAACAGACACATTGAGCTTAGCAAATAATGGCATACAGACAAGCCAAGAACTAGAGGCAAAAGATTGTTGGCAATTATTGTTCTGGACTTGAAAATAAGAAACAGAGGCAATTATTGTTCTGGACTTTTGAATCTGACCTGAATCCCTGACTCGAACTGGTCAGTCCACTCAGATGGGAGCTGCAGAGGTTTTAGGTCAAAGGAAGAGGAATCAATAAATCTTTCTTAGACCAATAATTGAAAAATCAGTTCCCTAATTATAACCACAATTAAATGCAAATAAACTTGTTGTTATTGAACATACAGCATCAAATGAACTCTGCCAGTAGTTTGATATATTTGGTTCACATTCAGTAGGCTCTTTGAAAACCCATTTATGACACTTATCAGAGGCAACTTTCCCCATCAACCTGCAAACAAAACCCAACCAATCAAAATACACAAATAGTAGTAGTTACAAAATCTTGTCTCCACCTTCTTTTGGTTCTACTCATTTATAACTATACAAATTATATCCCTATTATTCAGTCACAGTAAGTGACAGAGAGAGAGAGAGTTATGTGGAGGTGGGGAGAGTTCAAAATCCAATAATACCAACCAAATCACCTACCCATTACCCACCCTTCTCCATAATTATATAACTGAATGGACATTTTGCTGAATGCTTTTCTCACTAGATCTTCACCCTCCATCTCTTCCAAGCTCCCTCTACAGAACCCATCTTCCCACATCAACATCCTGCATAAAATTAACACAAAAACACACCATCTTTCAGCTAAAACAGAGATCTTTTTTCTTTTCTGCCACAGCCAAAAAAAAAGAGATACTTGAAGTCCATTCTCTTTGTTTCCTTTTTGGGATCAGCAAGAAAAGATGAGATATTTAGTAGTGAAATGGCGAGAATATAAATACTCACAAGCTACCATTATCATCTCCAACTTTGCAACCATTACCACCGCGAACTCTTCTGCAATAAATAAATAAAAGGAAACAAGAGGACCCATTTTGAGACAAGAAAAAACAGACAAGTATGGGGAAAAAGGAAAGAGGGGAAGACATACGGGCGAGGACGAATGGTCCAGAAGACAGAGTAAGTCCACTCTGTGTTGAGACAGACGCTTCTTAGTGCTTCATGAAGGGCCATCATCCCAACTGCTTCTTTGCTCCTATCTGTTGCTCCTGAGCCCACCATTTCTTTTTCTCTCTTTCTCTTTCTCACTCACTCTCCTTTTTCTTTTCTTTATCTAGCAAAAATTAAAACCCTTTTCTCTTCTTCACTTCACCTGTTGAAACACTATTCTCATGTGAAAATTTTCTCTATATTTTTATCTTCTTGAGCAACTGTACTATGCTTATGAACCACAAAGCAAACCCTTTCTCTCCTCTTCTACTTTTTACCTTCCTCTATATTAGATTATTACCAAATCTGATTACTTGAGTGAAACCAAGAAAAGGAAAAAAGAAAATGGAATGGCTAGTTAGGAGAGAGTGTTTGGAGGGACTGGGGGGGGGGGGGGGGTTGCAGTGCGTGCGTGCGTGTGTGGGTGTGAGAGTGTGTGAAGGATTGGTTTAGGTTTTGTTTGCTTTTGTATTTTACCAGGAAAAATATGAGAGAGTGGGGACAGCTTTTATCCCCTCCCTAACAAAGCGCTTACAATGCAGAAGGGCAGGCAAAAAGGAGTCTTGTCCCTCCAATGTTTAAATTACAGTCTTGTCCTTCTCTAGTAGCGATGACAAAATGGTTAAAAAAAATAATTATGTTATAAAACAATAAAAGAAGAAGAGTATTGCAGAGAAAAGTAGTAGATAAAATTCTTATTGATTTGGAATGAATTACAATAGAATAAAACTCTTTTATTTACAAGGAAAAAGTGACTTAGCCACCAAGTAACAAATCCTAAAATCTTTCTATATATAGACATTCATCATAAATAAAATAATATTTATAACACTCCCCCCTGAATGTCTGTTTACCAGATAATGTGCCTCGTTAAAACCTTAACTATAATAAAACACAGTGAAAAAAAATTCTAGTAAAGGAAAAAGAGTACGCATATATAACAATACGTCTTTTGGTTGTCTCATTAAAAACCTTGCAAGGACAACCCATTGGGACAAAACCTTGTAAGGAAAAAGAGTACAACACGTATTAACTCCCCCTGATAAGAGCATCAATTCACATCCTTGAGCTTTCGCACTCCAATCTTGTGCACTAGCTTCTTGAAGGTTGACGTCAGCAGAGATTTGATGAATAAAAATAGCCATATTAACTCCAATGAATATGTTACACCTTGAAAATCATCGCTATCACATTATCATGCTTATAGTTATAGCAAGATACATATGTACACAAATTTTACTTAGGATATGGTACTTCAGGACCAAGAATTGTATATGCTTTAAGCAATTTAAATTCTTTAAGGATTGTCATATAAGTTAAGTCATATAATAGACTTTAATTAGATGCATATCAAGTTTTCATGTCATGGTAGACAAATAAGATATCGAAAACTGATTGCACATACCATTGACTATATACTTTCAAGTGTTTGAAATGCAGGTCCAAATACTTGTCTATGAAACCAATTTTATTCGAATTGCGTCTCTTCTATTTGGCCAATATTTTTGTGTCTGTATTCAACAAACTTAAGATCCTCATTTATACTTAGCTCTATGATAGATTTCATTGACGAACATTACGGTTCCAATATTTTTTTCATATAGACATAACATAGAGATCTCTTCATTCATATATTCAGGTACCTGAATCTCTCATGAGATTTTATGAAGTGTTATGTCATGTGATCTTCTAGATCACTTGCTTCCTTATTATGATCATTTTGATCATTTGCTCATCTTCTTTGTCTATACGCTTTAAGTGTACCACAGACTTTGTCCTTCTAGGACTTAATAGGAGCATTTGCAATGAGAATATAGTTACTTTCTTTGATTCAGCAAATGCGTCTGGCATGCTTTGCAATATATTGCAAGTGAATTATCTTTTTATGAACTGTAAGTTCATATTATTTTTCAAGGATCAAGATATACAAATGATAATTCATTTCACGTAACTTTTTCTCAACTGTTCTTCATGTCTCCCCCTCATGTTAGAAAAACTAACTTGCTTCCTCAACTTTGAAAATACATCTTTGTGCGTTATCGTGTTAATCAAAATATACACCGCACATCAATAATAATAATAAGATAAAATTATTTGGTTCCTTAACCCTGAACCACTTGTGAGGGGAGAAAATAATATACTTTCGTATATAACATATATCAAACTATCTATATATATATATATATATATATATATATATATATATATATATATATATATATAAAACTTTATTCTCATAAGCAATAGTTTAACTATTAAGTGGAGGCACTCAATGAATCATTTCGCTAAACCAGTTGTGATGTAAACCAACTTATCAAGATAAACTGTCTTGAATAGAAAATGTCAAAATTATGCTCGAAATTAAATTACTGGGCAAGTTACCTCGCAAACACCAGCCAGGTTGCGGGTTAATAATAATCGCACATGTAACCATCTCATAGATACATCTAATGTGGTATACATGGCAGGTGAATGGGCCCATATTCACCTTTGATATTTCCAGCATTCATGAGATTCAATCCCAATTTTGGTTGGTCTATTAATAATGAGAACAAGCAACATAAGAGAATTTCTAAAGAACTCTCTAGTTCTTTATTATTTAATCATGTGAATTCTCTTTTATTTTTGCACATCATACTTAAATTAACATGGCTAAACCAATTATGACAACTAAATAAATTATCAATATTGATAAATTGCATATTTACACCATGGCGTGTGCAATTCTCAATAAACTCCAAGTTTATTATGATATGAGTTTTTATATCAAGAAATATCCACTTTATTGTGGTATTCTTTTATTTGTGTAGTACAAATTGGAGAATAAAGCGGGTAACTTTTCACATACATATTACCCCGCTACAAGTTGTAGTAATACGAGATATTAAATATTTCCTTCATTTATAGTCTCAGTATAACCAATCGCCTTCACGAATACTTTAGAAACTCAATAAGTTTCTTTGAGACTTACTACATCATAATGCCTTATTGAAACTCAATTTTGTTCCTCCAAAATAGTAATAATTGGCTCTTCCAGAGCTCTCAATTAATTTTGTACTACCACTTATTCATCAACATCCGTATGGTGAATATCTCTTTTAAAGAGAAAGTTATACCATTATGGTTATGGTCAAAATTATATGCAAGATCTGTTTCTTGCATTACCGTTGTCTTTTAATAATCACATTGCCAAAATATTTTAGTGTACAATAAGTAAGTGACCAATGATCATTTATGCCATAATAATGACATTATTTTCTTATTTTCCCTCAAACCTCATTCTAGAGGTGAGTGTGGTATATTCATTACCACTAGCACGTTCATATTCTTCCAAGAATGAATATGTATTTATAAATCACATGTTGTCACATTCACATCATGAATGGACCATAATCATCTATATGTGCTTTACAAAATCTCATGTCAAATCGATGACAAATATTACTTTCACATAGTGAAAGATTATTTTGAGAACTTTTATTGTTCTCATTACCACAATGATGACGATTATAATTTTGTCTATTGCCACGTCCACATCCATTGATACATTCATGGTAATAATTTTTTCTTCTTTCAGACGTATCACATACTGCTATCACATTCTCTTAAGGGAATGAGAATGAAACAAATTCAATGGGACAGGTTTCCACTTCTTGTGCTCACAATCATACATGAATTTGATCATGCAAGATATAAAAATTTTACCACTTCGTGTGGTTCTAATTTCTTACAAACTCTATTAAAGTTCTAATCAAAATTTATTGTCTTTGCCTGTATTTAAAATCAAATTATAGAATGTTAAGAATTTAAAAGAGAAAAATAAAGTAAAATACTTACCTTAAATCTAGAATTTAATCATGAAGGAAGTTCATGGAACAATTGACAATCATTATGCTCAATCCCAAAGCTTCTACTCAATTGGTTAGAGTCTCGTGCTCATAACGTGTTATAAAACAATAAAAGAAGAAGAAGAGTATTGCAGAGAAAAGTAGAGAGACAAAATTCTTATTGATTTGGGATGAATTACAATAGAATAAAACCCCTCTATTTATAGGGAAAAAGTGACTTAGCCACCAAGTAACAAACCCTAAAATCTCTCTATATATAGACATTCACCATAAATAAAATAATATTTATAACAAATTATTTATTCATTAAAAAAGGGTTGGATAATGAATTTTTTAAAAACGGGTTAAATATGAATAAGAATCATATTATTCATTGAAAATGGATAATTAATGAGTTTAATCTCAAAGGTGGTTCCTCAAGTTTGGAAAACTAGGAATTCTCCCAAAAGTAATCATATTCAAAAAGTCATGAATATCTATATTATATGTCGGTTAATCCTTTTCTTATCTGTATTTAAATATAAATTGGATCGGATAATTTATACGTTTTTACGTTACCCGTTTTCGACCCGCTTATTCCGCCACGCCCCGGCTGTTTGCCACCCCTATTCTCCGGCTATCGAGAAATTTTCATTAGCCTTTTATTTATCTCTTACATTTGTTACACCTTACACCAGTTTTTTATAATTATTACTAATAGAATTGTTTTGCACGTCATGTTAAATGAAAATCTAAGAAACTAATCTTTTAATGTAATTCGTCTATAATATTGATGTCACTTATTTCTTAAAAATGTAAAAGTTGAAATTTCAAATTCACAATTTAAAATCATACTAGTTGAGATTTATTTCACTTCCTAAGTCCTAACAACGAATTTAAGTTCAATACACCGACGACATAAAAAGTATATTATTCATGAAATAATTATAGATAAATTTCTAAATCAACACAAATGATAGCTTAGTACAAATGCTAATTAACCTGTTATTACAAGTTAAATACATTAATAGTATAAAAAGTTTAAACAATTCATATTATTTAAAATCCCTAAGAACATATTGATATCTTGAACAACAACAACAACAATAAAATACTCAGCGTGATATCAGAAGTAGGATCTGGTGAGGGTAGGGTATGCGCAGATCTTACTCGTGTCTTGTGTAAAGTAGAGAGATTGTTTTCGATAGACCCTTAACTCATAGAAAGCATTTTTAAAACAGGTTTGAAAATACTAAAGAAAAAAGAAGTATTGATAGCAAAAATAGTAAAGGTACCCAAAGTAAAAGAACAACATTAGTGATAAAAGTGAAGAATAAGATAATAATAAAATAATAATACTGATAGTGATAAGGAGAATATGGAGCAAATAAGATGCCTAAACTAGAATCATACTCTCCCGCACATATTGATATCCTCCTTACTATATTTTAAGTAGCTTTTCTTAATTCAGTTAATTTCTTAACGTGAAAGATGAAATTTGAATATACACGTATACTAGATTGTTTAGAAAATCATTATATGTAATAATTGCAT